TTTAATTGGTGATCCACCAGTCAACCAGAGAATGATCATAGTAAAATGTGACTCAAATTATTTATAAAAATTGGAGGTCTCCAAATATGGCATACACATATTTAAAACTTTTTTTAATACTAATTTAATCACTTTTCTAATTTAAAAGACTTTTGTAAAGCTTGTCAAGATGCATCTAATGGTGGTTAAAGCTAGAGATTAAGCCCGGGTAAGGGTTACCCAGGTAACTCGTATAACATTTCTTAATCAGGTCATGCTTATGCTATCCAGGTAACCCGGATAAAAATAGATGACAGTTCAAATATATCTGTATATCAGTTTATGATTCAGTTTTATATCACTTTTTGTAATTTGACTTTAGGTTTGTAGATTTAATCCTTCTTTAGTTGGAACAATGAACCAAGAGAAAAAAATCGGCATGATATAATAAAATAGTAATCATGTTGTAGTCAAAAGTTACAACATTTACATATCATATGGATTATAACTGATAATGAATCGGAAAAATTATTTTGTTATGCATTTTATATGAGTGACAGATACATATCATTAGAAAATTTAATTACCGGTATGTACAACATTTACTATATGGAGTAATTACTATAATCGCAAAAATTTACCTTTGTATATAATCAAATAAAAAAAACTGGTCTAAAACTCTCGTGACGAAGAGCAAAGTCCAAATTACAGCGAAAGTGTAAAATTAAAATCTTCAATAAAATTTGATTTGAATACTTGAAGTTTTTTTTTTTATTATTAATTGTGAGGGAGGTTGGTCCAACGTGAGGCCAATTAGTATTTTTTATAATTAATAATCACTAGCGGACTTTAAATTCCAATTGATCTCACATTGAAACCAACCTCCCTCATATTTGATTATTGGAAATTGAAAATTCTCATATGTATTGCTTACATCATATTTACCACATTTAAATAAAGTATCGCTTACATTATAACTACTACATTTATAATAAATTAATTGCAAGCATTTTATATAAATTGAAGAATCGCTTGATATTATATTGCGCATTTTATATAAATTGAAATCGCTTGATATTATATTTCAATTGCAAGCATTTTATATAAATTGAAATCGCTTGATATTATATTGCACATTAAAGTTACAACAAATAAAAAAAATGGAATCTCAAGAAGAATCTAGTTCGAGCCTTCAAAAAAGTATATACACTAACGAAACTGATAGTGAAAATGATAGTAATGATACGCCTTCAATTACAAACATATTAACTGGACTTAAAAAAAAGAAAAATAGAAGTAAGAAAAGTTTCGTGTAGAAATACTTTAAAGTAATTAAGAAAAAAAAGATATATATCAAGTTATGGTTAAAAAAATAGAGAAAACAAAAAATGTGAAACGGAATACTTCCATAACAATTCAACATTAAATATGATTGCTCATTTAAGATCGCATAATATCGTAGATAATAAAAAACTAAAATCTGAAATACAACAGAATAGGCAAGCTACATTAACTGAAATGACCCGATTTAATACTTCACATAAAAGCAATAAGCAAAGAGAATTAAATAAAGGAGTTGTCGAATGGATACTTCTTAATAATCAACCACTATCAGCACCAAGAAAAAAAGGATTTCGTCACATGATAGCAAAAGTTGATCTGAAGTTTTGCCCACCTTCTGATAGAGTAATAAGGAATGAAATAACATTTAGTTACTTAAAAAATGTTGACACTCTTCAGCATGAGATTGAATTATTCTGCAAAACTGCTACAATAACATCTGATTTGTGGACTTTGTATAATAACCAAGGCTATATTGGAGTTACTTGTTATTGGGTAGCTCCTAACTGGTTATTACGCAGCGTACTATTATGTTGTGAAAAATTATCTTACCTACATACTGCAGAATCTATTTATCAATTTATTCAAACAAAGTGTTCTGAATATAATTTAGAAAATAAAATTATATGCGCCATTACTGATAATGGCGCAAACATGGTAAAAGCTATTCGATTATGGAACACTGTTACTTGGCTTCCATGTGCGACGCATACTCTACAGTTAACAGTTAGTTCTTCCTTAAAAAAAATTAACTCTAAAACTAAAAAAATAAGAAAATTGGTTAATTTCTTTGATTCGCCTAAGCAACAAGAAAGACTAGAAAAGGCTCAAATAAGAGTAATAGAGAGAGATAGATTACTTTCACTTAATTTAATTAATACTGAATCTTATTTTGAGGAAGAAGATCCTGGCAAAGTTAATGATGGTGTTAGTACAGATACAGAATGACTAAATATAAATGTTACTTCAAAACCTCTTCGTTTACTTAAAGATTGCCCAACTAGGTGAAACTCCATCTATAAGTCTTGGGAAAGGCTTTTAAAACTAAAGGATGCAATTATATAGTTAGAGGCTAATTTAAAGATTTTGCAAAATTTAGATGATAAAAAAGACAGACAAAATCTCGCTTGCTATTTACCTGATGAAAACAAATGGAGATTAATTGAAGAATTAGTTAAGATCTTCGAACCATTCGACCAAGCTACTGAAGCATTTAGTGCTGAAAAGTTCTCTATATTGTCGGTTGTGTATTCTATTATTGAAGTCTTAAAATTTGAATTTGCAACAAATCCAAATTTAACTTCAATTGAAGATGATTTTAATGAAGAATATGAGAAATTTTAATAATTATTTTTTTTTTTTATTATAAGTTATCATCAAAATATAATAATAATATTTACCTTTTTTTTTTTTTTTTATAATTAGATAGCGATAGCAATAGTGATAATGAAGAAGCTCAAACACTAGAAACTTATAATATCCAATCAGTAATTGCTTGCATTAAGCAAGCAATTTATAATTCTCTTTGAAAATATTGGGGTGAACCAAAGTATACTGGTCTTTTAGCTACTTTACTTGACCCTCGGCTTAAAAGAATGTGTTCTTGGCCCAATCATCTACATGAAGAAACAATAAGAATATGCCATGAAGAACTCGATAACATTACTGATGCAATACCTATACGATCCACTTCTTCTACCAGTACTATTTCAACTAACTGTTATTTTGCATCAATATTTGATGATAACGATGATGATAATCTATTAAATACTAAGAATGAACTAGATAAATATTTAGAAGTGCCACTTGCATCACCATCAACTCGACCTTTAGAATAGTAGAAAGAACGAGAAAAAGGCTTTCAAAATTTAAGTAAATTAGCAAAGAAATACTTATTTATCCCAGCAACTTCGGTGCCAAGCGAACGCTTATTCTTAGATGTGGGAAATCAAGTAACACCAAAACGAACATATCTCAGTCCAGAAACCGTTTCTCAAATATTGTTTCTAAAAAGAAATAGCGAATTGATTAGTATTACATAAAAAAATTTATTGAATAATGTAAAATTTTTTTTAGATTTTCATGCTATTCATTAGTTAAATATATATAAACCAATTGATTATAGAGTAGGTTTACCTATATTATAAGAACTTTAAATAAAAACAATTAAAGGCTTGTCATAAAATACCATATAATAGTTTTGGAATTATACTTGAAGTTGGAGTTAAGGTTTACTAATTGAATTACCTTCGAATTAGATCTTACATTTACAGTACTGTGATTTATTACCTGAAAATTAGTCAGATTATTTGGGTTAGCCGGGTTAACCAGTTGTTATCCGGTTAAGAATTATTTAAATGGGTGAGTAACCCGGAGTAGAATTTTATAGCGAGCCTAATCACTAGTTAGAGCATCAAAATTGGCATGATAGGTGCCAAGATATCTTTAAAAAACGTTTTTTTTACTATGTAAACTTCTTTGTAGACAATACTATCATTTGCAAAAAAGTTTACATAGTAAAAGAAATGTTTTTTTAAAGATATCTTCACACCCACCAAGCCAATTTTGATGCTCTAACCACTATTAGATGCGTCTTGACAAGCTCTACAAAAGTCTCTTAAGTTAGAAAAGTAACTAAGGCCATGTAAAGTAAATTTTTTGGATTTCATAACCCGGCCAGGTCTAAAAATTAAGATTTCAAATTTCAAATTTTTTTTAAATTGGCCAATAGAAATGCAGATCGCTATAGGCATTGA